AAAAAAAGAGAGAGAAAAATGTATTTTATGTACAGGAAAAACCATTTTAATTATTTAGGGATCAAAATAAACTTTGTATCTGTTGATGTGCCATGATAATGACTCCAAGACCCTTGAAGAACACTAAGAGATGGCAAATTGATTGAAAGTGAAGTTTATCTGATAAGGAAATAATTTCTTATCACTTTGTTCCTTTCCATGAAGCCTGCATTTTTTGGTTTTTGTTCAAAGTATCTTTGTATGCTAATGCTGGAAAATCCCACTGGGGAAAAATATATTCACCTGACACTGTTAGGTTATGAGACATCATTTTTCAGATGATAATGAGGTGAAAATACAATAAGCGTGCTCTTTATGGGTTCACCTGGGAGTCAGTGGGAAATCTTAGGAGGAATAATCCTTGCAATAGGAATTTTGTAGGCAGTAGGCTCTATATTTCATAAAGCTGACAGAACATCTCAGAATGATGGGTAGAATTGCCCATGGGGTTGCCTTTGTATTCTGAATGTTGTTTCAAAAATCTAATAAATTACGGGCCTGATCCTCTCATGCAAAGCCCACACTGAAGATAATGCCAAGGCTTGGAAAATCAGGAACATAGACTGTATGGTAAACTTCAATACTGAAACCAAGACAGAGCATTATTTTCATTTCCCCAGTAAGCAGGGCCTTGAAAGGCTGGCTAGCAAGGCTCCCCAAGGGGCTGGTTATGCCAACTAGGCATTATCAGAGCACAATGGTACTCTGACCATGCCCTGGTCCCCCCCAGGTATGTCCTATGCCAAGGCAAAAGACAAGTGGGGGAGGCAGAGCCAGCTGGAGATTCCTGCATGCAGGGGGAATCCTCAGCTGCCTCGTTAAATCAGCTTTATGGTCCTTTTTTCACCACCAGAGCACAGTGCAAATGAATGTAGCATGATTAATGATCCCATCGTTTTTAAAGCGCTGTAACGTGGTTCATTTCCCAGGTTAAAAACACTGGTCATACCTATGCAGACAAAGCCAAAACAAGTCGTAACACAGTTGGGAAGTTATAGTGTCCTATCAAACCAGCCCTCAATATGGAAAAATTACTATGCAAGTATGCCATTGAACTGCTTTAAAAAATTGTTTGACTTTAAACCCTTCAGAGTTTAAACACAGTTTAAACCCTTCAGTGTTAATCACAAATATCTTACAGATTCTCTGTTACCACCACCACTTCCAGAAACCAATTAATAAGGTTCTTGATACTGTTCACGTGCACATCTCCCTGTAGAAATAAAATATATTAATTAAATTATAGCTAATATATAACCTTTTACTAGCTTGTTGCTATTACATTTGCATAGTGGCTCATTCAGAGTTGTTGCTCTGAATATTCAATATAAAAGAATGTTGTTCTGTTCCCATCATTATTTTAAAAAACCCTTATGTATGGATGTCCCTAATTGCAGACAAGACTCTCATACTTGTGCAGTTACAGTTGTAAATTTGAATGGTCCTACTGAAGAGTGATCAAACTTAAAATAGATGTATTAACTTCTGACTCATTTAAACTCGTTCCAGTAGTGTGACATCCTCCTGTCTGCAAGTTCTGCCTTCAAGTACATCTGTGCAACACCAGAGAGAGAGACTTGGTTGTATAGGTATGAGCACATAAAAATAGGCAAAAGGGTGGCAGAGACATCCTTAAACACAGAAATGGAAGTGGGTTTGTACAAGTGCAACTGAGGGCAATATTTGGCCAGTGGAATTGTTATTACATGCGATTGTATGCCAGACGGAAAGAACAAAGCATGATTTTTAGAGGCCAGGTGGAGGGCTGGCAGTTTGAAATGGCATTTTTTTTTTTACTTGTAGGCTTAGTTAGTCTGATCGAGAAATCATTGAAACAATAAATGTGGAACTCTTTCCAGGATACAACTACACTTTTAGCCAAACTTATTTAACCCAACCTCCAAGTCTGAATGTAATGTGATACTTTAATCAGATTTTTAAAACAGTTTTAAAAACAGTAGTAGGGAAACAAACCAGGCTAACCATGTGTAAGTTGTGATGCTTGCCTTAAGTTGTTTTTTATAGAAAGTCTTAGGTATCCTCAGATTTCAAAGGCCTGGCACAATCACTACTTTTCTGGCCTAGTGAGCACAAATGCCTCATAGTAAAGGCACACTGGCTGTCTGAAGGCAAAAATGAGGTACTGAAGTCAATGTGACTTTTGTCATTGACCAGCCTTAAGGTTTCCAAATGTATTTGCTTCAACTTATTAAAGAGAGAGATGCTCCCCTCTTGAAATTAAACTAAATCACACTGTGCCTGTTTTGGGGAAATAAGAGCAACTAAAGTGAGAACATTATAAACATGTGTAAGGCACTGAAACTAAACCCCGTTAATAAAAGATGCATCATTCTCAATGCATGGTATTTTGATTCTTGTAATCCATGCAGTAGTGTGTCTATTAGAGGCAGCCAGGGTATCATATGACATACACGTCAAGAGTGTAGAGCAAGCGCTAGTGTGGCTTCCCACCCACACTCCCATTCAGAGCACTAGCGGTCTGATGAGGCTTGAGCTAACCCTAGCGAGGGAGCGAGCGAGCATGAAATCTTTCTGTCTTTACCAAGATCAAATGGAGCTACTGAGTCAGGGGATGCCATTATTACCTCCACTATGCAATTTCCACTATCAATAATTTAATCGGTTTGCTGCACAAACAGAAGGGGAAACCGGCAGGACAGATTTTTGAAGGGGAAAGAAAAGCCGCCCCCAAACCAACCACAGTCAATTTGGGAGTTTCGTCAGAGGTCCCCCATGCAGCGCTGTTGACACTGACTTTTACAAGTAGCCACTAAAAAAAAAAGCCAGGTGGGTTTTGGATTTCCGTCTGTTGTTATGCCTCAGAGAAAGTCTTTGCTGTCTAGATTCTGCAAATATGCCCCTGCGTGCCTCCAGAAAGTGACTAGCGTAACGTTATCTGGAGCGTTCATTAATAAACAATGCTTGTTATTATCTTGATTGCATTCTTAATAGCAAACTATGAAGGGGTCAGTCAGGGAGCTATATTTAAGTGGATCTGGTTTGTGTAATGCACTCACAAGTAAACTAATATTCTCACGCTTTTCACAGATTTAGGGGCCGACTCAGGCTCCCGGTGGCTTTTATTTGTGTTGGGTTCTTCGCTGTCCTTACCTGGTTTCTCCGTGTTCTTTAGCAAAATAAAACAGGACTTTTGCCTGGCAGCGGGGACTCCGAAGTGACACACGAAGGGCAGCAGGGAGCCGCTGGGGAACCCGAAGTGTGTGGATCAGACTAATTTGGCAGAGGGGAATTCTGGTGCGTCCCCCCTCCACCCGAGCAGGAACTGATTGGAGGGTGTGTTACCTACGAAAAGAGAATGAAGGGGCCAGGGGGGTTGTGGATCAGACCCCTTTCAGGGCAAGAAGTTTCGGGAGAGAGGGTGTTTGCGAGCGAAGGGCTGGCCGAGGGGCTTTTCCCACTCGGCTTGATGGAGGGAAAAGGCGTGCGGTTCCTTTAAGCCAAGCAGCCCAGCGCTGGTGTCTCGGGCTTGCTGGAGCTGCTTGTTGGAGACAGTTTGACCAATAGAAGCCCAAACGGAGATCTAAATAATTCCTGAGTGAGAAGAAGCCAAGGCAGAGGCTTGTGTGAGAGGCTCCTGCACCAGCAGGAGGGTGGTGGGGGGAGATCCGAGCCTCACAACAACTCTGCTGCCCTCCCACCCTTCATAAAGCTTTGATGAGACACTTGAGCTGCCTCCTGTGTTGCTGGGGCTGCAGGAGGCGGCTGGTGGGACTGGGCGGCTGGGAGAGGATGTGACTTTCCGGAGGGACCCGAGCAGGCTTTGTGTGGACAACAAGGTACGAGGCGCCTCTTGGCCCCAACTAACTCGCTCTTCTCCGCCAGCGCGGCCGGCCGGCCGGGAAAGTTGAGTGTCAGGGCTGGGCACTGGCGGGGGGCAGCCAGAGCAACTTCTGTCCGCGCTTCCCCTGAGCCAGTCCTCGGGGGCAGGCGCAGCTGGGGAGCGGGGGAGATCCAGGGCAGGAGAGGAGGGGATCCCGTGCAGAGCGGAGCGCATGGCTAGCG